ATCACCCATTTTGCTCCACCAAGGCCAGTGTATATTTTCTATAGAAGGTAGTAAGAAGCAGCATGAGGACTGTGAAAGCCCTCTAGGAATTTGGACATACTCTCTGTGTTAATTCTCTTGGACAGATATTTAGCCAAATACTGTAGTAACCTTTGAAAATTTCAGCCAAAGAATTTGGCTGAATGTGATTGTTGAAGTCCCAGCTGTGCACTCTGAAGAAAGATAGAAGACATTCCTTAGTGGTGCTTCACTGTTCCATTGTAATACAGCCTTCAAGTGACTGATTTACACTAACAGTGGTCTGCAAAGGTAAATAGGCGCTCTCTTAAGAGTTTGTTTCTTCTAAGGATAAGTAGAGACTCACTGGACAAAAATGAGTCCTTCCTGCTTGCCTGTGTTGTGCCTCATTCTGCTTGAGTGAGTTGTGCTTGTCCTAATCAAGAAATACTAAATATTCCTTGGATAAAAGTATTACCAATTTGAATATGAAAGCAGATTTTCTCTATGTGGTAAAATACTATAGCTTATAAATAATATAGCTTGTTCCTATCTGAATTCAAAGACATCAATTTTAGTATATGCTTGCTGCCAGCCATTAAACTGAAGTTTACAATTTAGAATATTTAATAGCAAGTTCTGTCCTCCCATTTTTTGAAAGATTGAAAAGCTTTGGGTAGATAATTATTAAGGAAAGTGACATGAGAATAACAAATGAAATAGAGCGGTCTTAAAAAAACAATTGAGAAACTGTTGTACTCTCACAACTGTGCAGGAGCTCAATAAATGTGAACTTCAGAGACAAATTTTGGAACTAGGTAAATGGAATGCTCTTGCTTACAGCCTGAAAGGTACAGCTCATTGCTGCAGAAAGCTATGAATAGAACAAACTTAGAAAAATAAATCGTATACTAGCAGGGTTATTACTGATATCCAGAATTATAAAAATGAATGCTATCTAAGTTTGAAAGAGATATTATGTTTCAGGCTTTGGGGCATAGGTTAATCTCTGTCTGACAGATATCAGGATGAGACTTGTGGGAAGATGATGTCATGTCTACCTTGTGTGGACTCTCCTGGTGCTGCCTGAAAACTGTGCTGGCAGTATACAAAACTATTTGAACTTGTTTGATTGCTTGTATTAATTAATATACAAAGTACTTTAAAATGTACTTCTATATCAACATAAGTGATAGATATCTAATATGCTGTATTAAGTCACGCAGAATCACGGAATCACAGAATCACAGAATTGTAGGGGTTGGAAGGGACCTCCAGAGATCATCAAGTCCAATCCCCCTGCCAAAGCAGGTTCCCTACAGCAGGTAGCACATGTAGGCATCCAGGCGGATCTTGAACATCTCCAGAAAAGGAGACGCCACAGCCACCCTGGGCAGCCTGTTCCAGTGCTCCGTCACCTCACTGTAAAGAAGTTCTTGCGCACATTTGTGCAGAACTTCCTATGCTGCAGCTTGTGTCCGTTTCCCCTTGTCCTGTCTCCACACAATGGTGAAAAAAGTGTGGTCTCGCCATTCTGCCCTCCACATCTTAGATATTTATAGACCTGGATCAGGTCCCCTCTCAGTCTCCTTTTCTCAAGGCTGAACAGACCCAGTTCACTCAGCCTTTCTTCATAGGGGAGATGCTCCAGGCCCTTCACCATCTTTGTGGCCCTCTAATGGACTCCTTCCAAATTAAGTCAAATTAAATCAGGAAGAACTGCAGCATGGTTGGATATCTTTGTGACTGTGTAGGTGTCAAAATGATACTGACTCTTATAAATGGTAACTCACGCTGAGCACACATACTGAGCATATGTGTCTGTTAGAGTGCAGTGTATTTTTTATATGCATTTATTTATTCGTCCAGGTTTTGTGGTTTGGTCTCACAGCTTTGCTGACATGGCCAGTACATCACCTTTTCTATGTATAAGGTCTTATTTTACAATCTCCTTTTTCCAAAAAGAGCCTCTCAACTAATGTGTATTTGTGTGTGTAGCAGTCTGGATGACACCTGAAACAAGGGACAAAATGACCTTCCATTACAGTTCACTAACTCAATATACCTAATGAAAAAAAAAGTGTATCTCAAAGCAATTCTTCTTTATTTCCCACCCACCTATTTTGTCTGTGAAAGGAAATAAAAGGAAAAAAATACAACTATGTGATTATGCTACACTATGCTATACTGTACTATATGTGTGAATAGTTTCATTGAAAATATTTGGCAACGTTCAACTGTGATATACTCTTAACATTTGATTAAATTTAATGCAACTAATTACTCAGAAACATTTTAAATAAATCTGATACAGAAGTCTAATTCTAAATTAAACAAATCTGTCAAAAGTGACACAGGCAGAGTGACCTTGCTTCTGGTCTAGGGAGGGGACTTTTTAAGTGATGATGTCAGGGAGACATTACATGGAGCAACTGGAGAACGGTGCCTGTTGCTGGTAGCTATCCCCAGGAGTGGGCTGTTGAGTCACCATCTCTGGAATTGTTCAAGAAATGTTTAGATGTTGTACAAAGGGACATGGTTAAATGGGGAAATATTGGTGGTAGGTGGATGGTTGGACTAGATGATCTTGGAAGTCTTTTCTAACCTTGGTGATTCTATGATTCTGTACTATAATATAATTCATATAACTATTACACACTTTTTACTGTGTTGATTTCTGCAAGATCTAGCGACTGGTTTTTAGTATAATTTTAAGACTACAAAATAAAAAGCACTGTTATTTTATAACCTTCTGGCCAGTTACAAGCATGATGTAGCTGTTTTACTCAAGGATGTAACACTAGGAGGGCACATGCAGACTTCAACAAGTGAAGAGGACCTGATCAAATTCTTAGTGAGAACCAGAGCCAGTATCAGAGGAATTCAATTTCTGTTGTCTGTCCTATAAGTAAACGCACAGTAAGAAGAGGTTGTTTCAGAATTTAACAGCTACTGAAGGAGAGTTTTAAGGGACCAAAGCTGCTTTTTGCTTATATGAGAGGATTCATGTAGAATCATGTTCTAGTAATAACCATGCATATTTGCATTGTGAAACATCAATCTATCATGTATACTTTGTCCCTGGTAATGCAAGAAGAAGGGAGCCTTACAGTCTTCCGGTATACTCTCAGGTATGGCAAAAGCAATTGGAATGTTTTTCAAAGTAGTCTGGAGGGATAACTTTATGTGGTAGATGATCTCATTACTTCTCTCCTTGTTCCTCAACCAGTGTAATTAATATCCAAATGTTCCCCAAGATTAGCTTTATTTCCTGCCATACTAGTTGACAGACAGTGCTGAGATTTGAATTCACAGCAGGCGAGAGCAGATGGCTACCTTTGCTAACAGATTACTGCATCAAGACATACAGACTGCCCAGCTTTGTCTCAGTTAACTTCAACATATGATTTGTAAAGTGAACATATCAGAAGAAATTTATGACACCTATAATGAGAATCATATTATTGCTTAAAGAAGTAAAGTTGTCTAAGCAATTATTGTACATTTATGCTGATATTAGTAGGCAAGAAAACCACTTGGAAAACAATTAGTCTTTTCTTTGCTGTTAGTTCCTCTCATTTCATTTCTAATGAACTAATTAAACCTGAGATTTCCAAAACATACAAATTCTGTTGAAGTTTAAGCAAACATATCAAAATGTTACAGTTCACTCTAATAAGATTGTTCATTGTTTGTTTGGGACTTTTTACATAAGTAAAGCAGTTCCTCTTTAAACTTTTATACCTGCGAGTCTGTGATGAAACTACAGTACTCTAATTTAAAAGAGAAGAAAGAAAAATAAAACAAAACAGAGAGGGCCATTGTTTTAGAAAGAGAAAAGTAGTAGCAAGGTCATGCATACACATCCAGCATAGCAGATAGGTTAGGCTATTTGAGGTCATAAACTCTGGGCAAAACTTGCCTGGAACAGCTGATGATGATGCCTCATAAATGAGGGCAAGGCTTTGGACAGTGTGTAGCAGCTCCATAGAAAAGCATGGAATGACCTAAGAAAGATCTGATGTTTTTAGCATGATGAATGATTATTTGTCTTGCAAAGAAATGTGTGACAAATGACTTCCTGTGTGCTAGAAGTCAGTCCTGTGTGCTAGAATGCTGGATACTGTTGGCATTATTTTTGAAGATGGTTGATCTATTATTTTTCCTTGTGTATCACATATTATTCTTCTGGAAGTTCCCATTGCTTTGGGTGCTGAAAATGGAGGTGTGAAGTGGTTTATAGCTATGAGATCGAGGGGAAGTGCTGGATCTTGCAGAGTCTGGCCTTTTTCCCTGGTACCATCATGCTGCTTTTCTGCTTTCCCGAGGGCAACAGCTAAGTCTGCTGAAGTGCCTTGAACAGCAGCTCTATACAATAGCCAACCTGCACTTCTGAACTTACTCTCCTCTATTTTGATCTGTTCAGTGCTTTGTTTCCCTCACCTCATTCTTGGGTTTGACTGTGCTTTCTGTGAACTTTGCATGAGAGGGAAGGCTACAATCTCTTGTGTGATACAGGGGCTGGTGGGATTTTCCTCTTGGTGCTGTGGAGAACAGTGAGAGCACCACTTGCCAGTTAGATCCTGGAAAACAAAAATTCTTTTGCAACTGTACCGGAGAGATAGATTAAATTTCTGGTTTTAATAAATGAGAGGGAGAATGGTTATTTTGAAGTTAAAAACTGACGGTAAATTCTATTTGCCCACCTGAAGCATTTTCCTTTAAAATTAGCTGAATGTTTTTGTACACGCAGTAACTTTTTCTTAGGATGCAAAGTGAAGGCAGAGCAGAAAAATGTTTTGTAGCAGTTTAGAGATTGTTGCTATATGTTTTCAGAGATGCTGTCTATACTCCCTGGCTGAATTGTGGGCAATTGACCACGGTGAATATCTAGTTTAGTGGAGTGTTTTTGCCTGCACTTATACAGTTTGTATAGAATGAGCATCTATTTCTGTCAAAAGCAAATATGTATGATTCTTTTGTTGTTGTTGTTTCTGTCGTAGACTTACCCTCAGCAAACTTAAGCAATTATAACATCACTGTGGTGGAAGGAAAGAGCATCACACTGTACTGTGATACAACCGGAGGGCCACCCCCTAATGTGTCTTGGGTGCTCACTAATCTTGTTTCAAACCATGAGGTAAGTTTCATATTCAAAGAAGTGACAATTCAGAGAGAAGAGATACCTGCTTGTGGATGGAACGAAGGTTCATGTCCAGCTTTAGTTAACTTCTAATCAAAAAGATCAAGATTAATGTTGGGATAACATTTATATTCCAGTTAGTTTCAACCCAGGCTAACTGCTGCAGTGGTTCTGGAAAATGTCAAACATTTGCTCCTTGAGATTTGTACATGAGAGCACTGTACTTTCTTGGATGTTATACAGTGAATAAGGATACTAAACAAAAGTGCTTTCTCAGCAACTACACAGAGGGAATAAATCTTACATATCCTGACAATGAAAAAGGCTTTGTGTTGCAAATTGTATTGTATTTTCAAGCCAAAACCCTGGTGACCATATTACCTATTGATTTGACAATTTTGATTGTTGGTATTATTTTGTGTTTTGTTTCATTTTTCTTCAACAAAACAAAGCAACAATGAAGTCTTGGAAGTCAGGGTCACTAAAAGGTAATTAAAATGTTACCAAAAAAATGGCATTTTCTTATGAAGTCTGAAGACATTCTCTTAACAAAGTCCCAGGCAACAGGACTTTTGTTTTCTAAGACCCTTGTGTTCTCTGTCCTTGCCTTGGACTGTGCATGCAGTGGAGACAATTTGTTCTGATGGAGATGCTGATGAGGAGCAGTGTCTTCCACATGCAGCTGCTGACGCCTTAAATTCCATCAATTTTCATGGTTTAAGGCCTTCTGTTATTTACACTTTTATGGCATTGGCTTCATACTGTTCACGAGTATGAGGCTGCCTGAAGATTCCTGATGTGTGCAAATTGTGAGATGTGTACTTCTAAAACTGTTTCTGTAATGCAGAAGAACCAGGACCTCTGGGACCTCTTAATCTTTGCACTTTCTGCTTTGATGTCATTATATTGGGTCTTCACAGGGTTCAACCAGTATGTCTTTCAGCTTTCATGAGTAAGAATTCTGCAGAGCTCTAGTTTTATTTTTAAATTTTCCTCTACTCTGTAAAACTACCTAAAGGCACCAGTCATCATAATGAACAAGAAATTAGAACCGTTTGGGGAACCTATGCCAAGCTGTGCTTTTTCTTCATCTATTTTTCTTTTTTTTTAGTTATGAGCCAAAACAAATGTGGGATACTGTTCAAGAAGTGAGATCATTTCATTTTTTAACCCTCCTATCTTGAAACGCTGTGTTCAGTTTGCTTCAAGGTTTCCAGAAATACTCTGTCCTGGCATAACTTCATGTGTGAGATTTCAGAGGGGCTCGTGGCATAGGCTAGCTGCAACTTTAGCTGTGGAGCACAGTAGTCTTTTCAGTAGCGGAAGAATGAGTGCCTTTTAAACCTCATTTCTCATTTGCAACTATTCTTCCCTTTTCTGCTAGCATTGTTTTTGTTTCATTCCTCTCACTTTCATATCTGTGTTTCTGCCTCCCTTTTCTTCACCTCCTGTGCTGTTTTTGCCTGCTTTTTCTCTCTTTTGTGTTTTACAGAGAGAAACGTTAACAAAAATTAAAATGGTACCCTATTCCTGCAGATTTAACCACACATTCAGCTTTTATGCTGATTTTTTTTTTTTTTTTTGCTATAGATTTCAGTCACGAATCTGTGTTTGGAACCCTTTCTGTGAATCCTCTTTTTAGCACTGCTCATCTCTGAGGGCTGCATGTGGAGAAATGTACAGGGAGCTGCTGGCTTTTCCACTCTGCCTCCCTCAGTGTCACACTGATATCAGTGGGGCATTTAACGCATTTAACTCATATAGAGTTAAGGTGTTACCTCAAGGTTCAAAGTTCCAGTTCTGTATGCAGAACTATTCCTCTGGGTCCCCATTGTCTGCTGGTGAAAGTCACTGCTTTTACAGGTGTATTATCTGTTTGTGCAGCACTGACGTGTATGTGTACACTAAGAAAAGTACCTCAAAAGGAGTTTTTAAAAAGGATACTTATTATTGCTTATTCTCCAAATGTGTTCTGATTCTATTCATTTTTAAGAAAGTAGCTTTGCATTTTATGAAGTATTCAAGTGTGGAAATATAATTATTTGGAGATCATGTGAATGACCTGGTTTAAGAAAACTTTGTCTTTGACAACTAGTTTTGCCAGCTACTATTTTGTTATAATACAGTCCTCTTCACTTTGTGAAGTGTAGCATAGCTGCATATTTAATACGGCATTTAGGCTATAAAGGTGCTGTGAACTTTCTAAGAATCACAATAATCAAGAGTTCTAAGAATTATAATTCTTACTTTAATTAGCCTTAGTATATAAACACATAAAACAGTACTTGGGCAGTAGTGTCTTAGAAAGTATGTCATTTCTCACAAATTGCTTTATGAGAGGAAGAAACTTTTAAAAGAAATTTGGCAAGGGAAGGGATGAGGGAAAAGACACCAGAGCTCAGAACGCAGCAGTGTAAGAAATGTCAGACAAATGCAGGGAGACCAAAGAAAGAATAAAGCAAGCATCAAGAAGGAAGGAGGAAGAAAAAGTTCAAGGGAAGGGACATACCAAAGAAATCAGTCATGAAGTGGAAGAGAGGGATGTGTAGAGGGGTAGAAGTGTTCAGAAAAGGCAGAATCTGGATGGGACAGGGCAAAGTGGATGAGTACAGTATTTACTGCAGGACTGCACTTTTCAAACTTCAGCCCCTGATAGTTACAATTGTTTCTGTGTTTTATGTCTGCTGGATAGGATGCCAAGTAGCATTTTGATTAATTACAGATTGATAGAACTAAGGAGAAAGGAAGGCAAAAAATGCTGTTGAGTTGTGGCCAGTGATTCCCCACCATTCCTTTCTTTCTCTAGGCTGCAGTTGATACATGCATGTTTTTCTGATCATTTGTAGAGTGATACAAGTAAGAATCCTGCCTCGTTAACCATAAAGAATGTTTCATCCATGGACAGCGGACTGTGGATTTCATGTGTGGCGGAGAACATTGTGGGAGAGGTCCAAACCTCTGCAGAACTGACGGTATTCTGTACGTACCCAGGCCTCCATGCAGCTCCTGAGGCCAAACCCCATTATTAACGGCTCTTTTGGGTATAAATATTTTTGGGGTGCACAGGTTGCTAAAACAGGAGCACCTTTGAAGCATGTGAACTGCCTATTGCAGTTAATACTGGGAATAGCCCAGCCAGAAGTTGCTGAGTTTGTCTTCTTCTACTCTGCGTTCTGCAAAAAATACATTTCTAAAGGCTTTATCTTCAGTGAGGACAACCAGTAAACAATAGTCTGAAAGCCAAAGCATTGCCAGTGTGGGAAGGTTTGTAGTGGTGTGCATATACATACATACTATCTTAGGAATTAAGAATGCATAGAATTAACTGTAAGATGCTAACTGTAAGATGTTAAAGTTTGTATTATGTAAAGCAAAAACTGCTTTGTTCGAAAATAACACACTTGAAACATTTGTACTGCCAGATGTAAATTCATTTGTCATGGCTTGAATAATGTGCTTTTTGTCAGGGCCAAAGAGGGGTAAGGAGCATAAGATATGGAGAAACTGGCTACTTAGATTGAAGATCCCATCCTGAATTCATTTTGTGTGAACTAGACAGCATTTTTTCACAAGTTGCAACCCTCTGTTTAATTGAAGATCGGAACATAACTCTTTGTAGATGGCAAACTTTGCTCAGTATGTGTTCACAACAGGGAAAACTAGAGAAAAAATCACTATAGATCTACTTCAAATGGCTTGTAGGTTGAAATTGGATATGTAATAGCTATGGGAAGGAACATAAACTAGAAATATTTCAACAGTGTAAATGAGATTCTGTGCTTGGCACTGTTATGAGTGATAAAAGGGAGTGTAACTAGATGAAATTGGATGCAGTTAAGAATAAATATCAAGGAAAATTTCCCAATAGTGAAATAAAGAGCAAGGTGTTGGAATAGTCTCCTGGGGGAAACAGAACAAGTCTGTAAACTTGAGACATTTAGCAGGTTTGAATAAAGAATGAGAAAACCTGTAGTAGAAAATGGTCATTCCCTGACAGAATAATCCAGGGAATGAAGTCATCTGTACTGGCTTTGATTCTGTGAGGAAAATCATCTGAAAGTTTGGATTCCTGGCAGAGGATATTTCCAGTACTGCTTGCTTTGGGCCAACTTTTACATATTTTCAATGCTGTTCTGTTCTTTCAGCACTGCTCTGCACCATTTTCTTCTGCAGAGTAAAGATAAAATTGCTCTTTTCTCCTTCTCCAGAAACTGATTTTCCCACACTGTCAGGTATGGGATCTGACTGGTGTCCAGTCTTTGGATAAAGCAGTTAGTTTTTCTTCCCTGAAGAATGGTTTCAGTTGTAAATATAGTAACCTACACAGAGCTGATGAGCTTCATGTTTGAGTGTGCTGTGAATAAGTATCATTCCTGAAAGTAACTTCCTGTAATACTTGTGAATGAAAAATATGACTTAAGGGAGTGGGGAAAAGATGTATTCCAGATATTCTGATGTTGTTTACTCTTTTTTCCAATATAGTTGCACCAAATATCACATTTATTGAGTCTCCAACCCCGGACCACCACTGGTGCATTCCATTCACTGTGAAAGGGAACCCTAAGCCCACATTGCAGTGGTTCTATGAAGGAGCTATATTGAATGAGTCTGAATACATCTGTACTAAAATACATGTTATCAATCAAAGTGAATACCACGGCTGCCTTCAGCTGGACAACCCAACCCACCTGAACAATGGTGCTTATACCTTACTGGCCAAGAATGAGTATGGAGAAGATGAAAAGCGGGTTGATGCTCATTTCATGTCGGTGCCTGGAGATGGTGAGTATGATTTCAGTGTTAGCCATTGCAAACTGATGAGAATGTGCTTCTAGCAAGGCTTTTTTCTGTGGATGAATATCTTTAAAATCCATTGTAAAATAATGTTTTTCTTTAACTGTGGAAGCTGTGCTACTTCTCTCTGAATTCTTCCTTTGGGTAACCTCCTCAGTGCTAGGTGAGGCTTGAGGAAAGGTAGCTGCTTCTCAAGCATTTTCTCAAACCTCAGTACTGATCCTGGAAAGCACTGGGAGCCAGTTCAGGCACTCCACAAGCGTTCTACACTGTGTTTGAATTCAGCTAGGCAGTGTATCCAAAGACACAGGGAGTGCCCACACAGCATCTTGTGTCTTGTGGCAAAATCAGTATTGCAGTCCTCTGAGTTGATAATAACAAATTATTTAGGACACAAGAGGGAGCTGGAGAGAAAACAAGTAACCCTGTGGTAGGATGATGGAAGTCTCAGGTCTTCACAGGCATTTAGGTGTCAAATTCTCATTTGTTTCAGCTGAGGTTGAAAACCTACATGCCTATGAATATCTGTGCTCAAAATGGTTTATGTTAATTATGTGCATCTTCTGCTCTGTCTCAGCCCTCTGAGCGGTACATGATCAGGCTCAAGGCAGGCTAACTCAATCACTGCCAGTGATTGATGTTCTGTGTGGTGTGATGTTTCTCCACATCTTCAGAACCACGTGTGAAGTGAATGTAAGAGAATGCAGATGCACATGCAAATTTATTATTCTATCTGTAAGAATCTCTGAGCAGACCAGCTACAGCAGGAGTGGATGGAAACACAGGCATGTTTTAGTGCAGATATTTGCACAGTCATTTCAGAAAATATGAGCATGTGTGCACTTTTGGCTTTTAATCACAGAATATAAAAAGCCTTCTTTTCTGAAGTGGCTATGTGCAATGCTGATGTTATCTGACAGAAGAAGATGTGAATATTTAAACTCTCTCTCCGGAAGTACAGGCAGGCTAGAAACAGTAAAAATATGGTCTGTACTTAGCGTTTGCTGCTAACGACTCGATCTGCTACAGGGCAAAACATAGCAGGTCCTTTCCTTTCCCACCTTTAGAAAGAGAAGGTGAAGAGAGATACAGCCAGACTCTCTTAACTCCTGCTGTCCTTAGCAGTCCTCTCTTCTTTCTTCTCTGCAGTTCTTCCTTAAATAGACTCATTACAAGAACATGCCGTGATTCCAGCTACTGGCATCCTCTGATACTGTACTGTAACAGCTCAGTAACAGTTCACCTTCTCCATGCTCTCTGTGCAATGGAAGCTCTGTCAAATTATGACTATTTAATATGAATCTGGCTTCATTTTCTTGACAGAATAACAGTTTCACTAATACACCTATAATAATTTATCGTTTTTTGTCTTCAATCCATATCCCTCTTACTGTTCTGTTTTGCTTTTATGCTTCTCCCCTGTACTTTTTCCCAGCCTTTAAAATCACTAAATAGAGCAGGAGGTATCCTCCCAATTACAAACATAGTATTATTATTTGCTCCATTTTTTTTACATTCGTAGGGAATTTAGGTCTCCAAGATAATCTGTGCTGCGTTTTTCAGCATTTCCAAGCTCTGTGATGGATTAAGCTTCACAAAAGCAGTATGGAGGAAGCTAGACTACTTGTCGACAGGACGTATTTGCATTAGAAATCAGTTCATGCATGGTGGATTGCTCCAAACCAGTCTTAAAAATTAACAACAGGGGAAAGTGCTTATCTAGTTAGCTTTCTCAATGTTGGTTTAGTTAGAGTAGATTTTTTTCTATAAGAATAATGACTTGAGCTTTCTAATATTTCACTACATTGTTGTCTCCTCTACTGAAGCAGATGTAAAAACAAAGGTTAAAAAAACAGACTCCTCCATGCATAATATTGTTATTATTATTTACTATTACTGTTTAAAGCTCTGTCAGGATTTTTCTAAAACCTTAAACAGTGCTGTCGTTACTGTGTAGTTTCTTCTTTTGGCCCACATATTGTACAATGAAGCACGAAGATTAAGGCCCACACCCTGGTATTATATTCAATTCCATGCCTTCATGATTGAATTAAATACCAGCCCCGATGTCTCATGGGGTGGGGCATTCTCACTGAGCTTTGAACTGATTCTCTGGTTATTAACATCACTTACAGGCAAATGAACTGCAGGTAAAAAAAATAAAATAAAATATAAAAAAAGCCCTCACCGATAAACTATACATTTACCTAAAATAAATGTGACTAAGTCTACAGCATATTCCTAGCATCAACAGTGCACATAAAGGAAAGGGAAACAAATGCTTCACATTGTGAAATTCGATTGTGTTAATGACATTACAGTTAGTGCTGTAAATTAAAATTTTGCTTTAGATGCTAACATCTGGAAGAAGAAATTTCAGGCTTTGCTACCTAGATTTTTAACTAATTTTAATCTGATAAAATTCTTGAACTCAGTGTAGCTGTTTTTGCAGAGGATAACTTGTTTATTCGGAGCACATTATGGCAAACAATAGGCAGAAAACATTCATGTTTTATTCTGAGAGCTTTCCCAGAGTTGATCCATACTATCTAATGAGTGCTGGAGAGATTTTTACCAATAATAATTGTTTTTAGGAAAGCTTATTCATCGACCAACGCTATAATATAAAATTCAGTGGAAGGAATTCAAGTCACATAGTATCTTGTCAAAGTAAAAGAATATGTTAAATATTCTTCAGAAGTAGCATCTTGCTTGTGTGGCATAACAACAGGGTCTGTTTTGCAAAAGTATGTTTTTGGATTGAGACTTTTGCTGCTGCTTTATTTTGCAAATGTCAATTTCATAAAGAAAGAAGCACGCAAACAAAGTGCAGTTGATGTACTTCATGAAGATGAGTGAATATCATAAATCTCTAATAGTTTATTTACAACAACCTGTTCTAACAGAGACCAAAACAACTATATTCTTTGTTTGCCTTAAAAATAATTAATTGCATGTAAACACGCAAAATTACTGTGGTGAAGTTCAATGTTAAAGTAGCTTCAATTGATGTTTTGATGATTGAGATGTGTTTTTATATAGGCAATACTAAAGAGAAACTTGGGTTTGGTCCAGCGTGTTGATTTTTGCAACTTTATTTGAAGTAAAATATTTTGTTATATAAAAGATATTGAATGGAGTCAATGACTTTCTAGCTTGAATGCTCCTATCAGGAATTAAGGGTTAAACTAGTTTGACGGCTTCAGCCCCATTCCTGTAAATAGTAACAGAAATGTTGCCATTTAACTCAGGAAATAAAGGCCTGGGAGTTTTGTCGTTGTTATTTTTCCTTGAAATTACAGAAGTAAATTAGGAATACCATCTTTTATCAGATGTTTTACAGTGGAAAAAGTGAATCTGTTAACTATGGAAGGAAAACCTTGTCATAAGTTGCTTTAGCACAGACAGTACTACAGGCTGTTTTCACTTTTTACTCATTCCTGCTTATTTTCACAGCAGTTCTCATGGGGTCTATTAGGCTATGTATCTGGATACTATGAGGGCTGCTTTGAAAGTAATGCCTCCTATTTTATTATGTTGGCCCATGACGTCAGAGGCAGATGTTGATGGTATGGCAGTAGAGGATGAACATTCCCATCAGCATTTCCTAACGTTTTGCTGTTGTGCAATGGATGGCAGCAGTGGTGCAGTCTGACAGAATGACGTGTGGCACAGATGTGCATATGGAGCAAAGGTGTGTCACTGAATTCCTCCATGAAGAAAGAATGGCAACCATTGATATTCATTGATACCTGCTGAACATTTGTGGAAAGCAAGTGAATGTGATCACAGTAAGAACAGTGAGGCCATGGATGGTGTGTTTCAGCAGCAGCAATAGCAACAGTGGATTGCCTCCACTGGTGCAGATTTTGATGAGTGTGGCATGCAGATTAATGAATAGCTAACGGTGGTGACTATATTGAAGGATAGTGTTTTGTATCTCTATCAAATAGTGTTATTGTGATCTTTGTATTTGTAGTTTCCATGGAAATAAATAGGTGGCATTACTTTCAGAGTGATCTATGTAGAATATTTTCAAATGCATTTAGAGGGAAACCTAATTACCTGCTGCCATTCTGCCAATAGTTTGCAACTCTTTGTTTTGGATTTTCAGCACAGATTCTCACACTGCGCTGACATAAGCATAAACAATATTGTTCTAGTCATACTTGACAGTGACTTTATGCTAGTGTAATGCCATTGGTGTGGAATTACTGCACATTATAAGAACTTATGCCTTTTGAAGTTTGATTCATCTTTAGAGGTTTTAACCATCTATTAATTTTATTTCCAAAACAACAGAGTGAGTATATAGAAAAGATGATTAGGAGTCTACTACATAATCAATGCTATAGATACGTATAGACCAGGATGAATGGGTATGTTGAAATACAATACAGATATCTTTCAAAGTGTGAACCATCTAATACTATGTTAATTTCATTGGGTGTCCTGTGCATTATGCTCACATATGTGATTAGACTTACATATGTGTGGTAATTATAAAAAAACTTGGAAACTGAAACTAGTAAAATTTAGAAAAGGGTAAGATAGATGGGTCCATTTGCCTCTGTAAAAGCTGGCTTGTGGGAGACCTGACTCTTTCTGTACTGAGTTCTGCCTGCAGTTCAGCTGTGTAGCTGTCTTCTGAATTACATCCTTTCACGGTGTGAATGAGATGGTGATGGTTAGGTCATTGCTAACTCTAGCCCTTACCTTGACAGCTCAGAGTGCTGCAACTGTAAGGCAGTTTGCTCTCACAATGCTTATACTGCAAATTTTTTTGATCAGGTAAGAGTCAGTGATTGTAATTGTCACTGAAATATGCTTCCTCTTAAGGTCAGGGAGATTTTTATCATTGATTCCCAACAAGAATAATTATTGTTTCACCTATTCCAGCATTTTGCCCAGTTGGGAAATATTTCTGCTTTTAGAAGAGCCAACACTCTGTATGTAAGCTTTTCACATAAAGCTAAGCATTAACACTGGGGATACCTATAAAATATTTTACATGTAATCTGATAATAGGTAGTGCAATATGTTGATGCTGCTTTGTATTTATGTAGGTACTGGTAACTGCTATTGCAAATAACATGTCAACCTTTAAAAAACACTAAAGAAACTCTTGTTCTTCTAGCATTTGCAATCTATTTACAAAGGCTTTTTCTTTCTTTTTTTTTTCTCTTCTCCATGTACAGGTAGTGGCCCAATTGTGGATCCAGACGTTTATGGTATATATTTGATTTTCTTTTTCTTTTCTTTTAATTATAGAAATGTAGAAGCTCAAACTACTAAAAGATTGTATGTCAATCTCAGCTAAACTGAAATGGCACATATTACAATAGAATTTTGAAAGGTATTTTGTATTGTTCATTCTTCTCCTGCTTTATATTATTTAAAATCAATGAGGGCAATATGACGTTTTACTTGTCCTACTGCTTTTGATTCACATTAGGAAAGGCATAAATCCACCACTACAAATGGTTGCAATTGGTCCTATAAAGTGACAGCTGTCTTATGTAGCTCAGAGGCATGAGATTTGGTGAGGCATTTTGCAGAGGAAAAGAAGTTCATGATTTCTCCTTATATAACTTAATTTATTTTTCAGGAATGTTTCCATACTTGTTTAGCCTCCAAAAATGTACCCCTAAATCCCACTTAAAAATGAAGTTGGCACAAGTAAGTTTTCCTGTAGGCAATTCATTTTTCTCTGCCCTCTCATTTGTACCTTCCTTTAATCTCTCTTGCATAAGCAGAGCATCAGCTCAGTGATATCTGAGTGAGTGCCAGAAGATTTGATGACATGGTGTTCACATTAGCTTTTTAGATAGGCAAAATGTTTTAGACTACCTAGTGAAAGTCAGCATGCACTGGAATAGAAGCTATAAGCAGAAAAACAACTAGTTAGTTTTACATAACATTCTGGTGATCATGAAAGTCTATCCTAACTAACATACTCAAACACCCCCTAGCTTCTAATGGGAGCTTGATCCTATTTGGAGTACTTTTATTTGGATGAAATGGCCCATAACTCAAGTTTCCTTAAGCTGATTTAAATGTTATTGCTTTGATTCCATTCCATGTCATTAAACTTTAGCAAATGTGCAATTGAAGCATCATTTTGGCTTAAAGTGCTCCGAAATACTAAACACTTCCCCTTCTTCTCTTTGCAAAGTATTTTTTTTTTCGGAGGGATGCATATGGTGGTGGCAGTTGGCACAGGTTCTGACTTACATTCTATTACATAAGGTACATACATGAGGATTGTGGTTCTGAGTTTTTTGCCTGTGTCCTAGTGCATGTATCTGGCTCTCACCTTGCGAGCACTGTGCTTCAAATGACTTTGGTAGGCTCTGTTGAGATGTGCGCTCTGAGTTGTGCAAGTGAATCTGAGCCAGCAAGATCTTGTCCTGATGAAAGCAGTATTCCTTTTTATTTCTGGCTTTTCTCTCTGCTGTTTGAAATAGCTGTCTTTGATCTTTGCTTCAGTGACTCAGTACTTGCTTTGAGAAACACTTTGCAGTCTAGAGTGTTTCCCTAATTATTGTAAATTCACAAACCCAGTTGGTGAGATTAATATATAAGGCAGGCTGGAAAGACAAGAAACTCCCTCACTTCCGCGAAGAACCAGGGCCTGCGTGGTGGTCAGGGACCCACTGGGATTGCCTCCCTCTGGAGATGGAGCCTTTTCCATGACTCCTGTTCATATGGCTTGATCCCTGTGCTGATGTTTACTCACAGCTTGGATGGTGCTAAAAGGAAGGTTTATGGCCCACTCCCTCCCTCAGGACCTGACCTTCTGTGTTCTGCACTCCCTATGAGATGGTTTCCAAAGGCTTCTCATTAAATGCTTTAAAAATACTGTGGGAAACAGATCCAATGAGGCAGCAGCAGCCTATGCCATGCTGTGTTTTCTTGGGGTTCTTGTCTCGGGCCTGTGGATAGTGTGGGCCTCCTGCAAAAAGTGAAGAAGAGAGCTGTTGTGATGCTGCATGGGGAGAGGCAGTGGAAGGCAGTGCCGCCTGCCTGGGGCTGAGCAGGAAACTGATGCCAAGCCATCTTCTTCGGCTCCTAGCTCATCTCTCCATGACATGCTGCTTCTAACATGGTTACGTGAGAGACAATGTGCCCTGAAGCATTCAGCCCCAAGGGAGCTGTGCAAAATGACTTCCTTATTGTGGTGATCTCGTCTGTGTCCCAGCTGCTTAGCACCTTGCTTATAGAACAGCAGCAGGATACTGCAGCTCAAGATGTTGGCACGGTTATAGGTGATGTATAAGGTGCTAGGCACCAGGGAATCTGGCCCTGAAGCTATACAAGTCCCAGAGAGTGAGTTGAGAGGCGTGACCCTGTCTCTATCAGAATGCTATGTGTCTGTAGCAGGATTTTGTAATGAAGTGAACAAGAATTTGCTTAAGTCAGAATTGCTGGTTTTGGCTGGATAGCTGTTGTGTGTGTTTTCCTTGCCTGGCTCGCCCATTTCAAGACGACTTGAAAATCTGGCAATACTTCACAAGTAAATGCTTCACACTTATACAGTAGGAAATGGCAGTGCAACACCAGTGTACTGAAATGGCCTACATTTTCTCTTGCCCATTTTAACGTAAAACTGTATTCAGAGGATTCACAGGCCAGACTTGAAATGCTTTGCATAGTTCTCATTAATCCTTCAGGATATGCTTCCCAGTAGCTTAGGACAAATTTGAACATAAACAGAATGGCAAAGAGCATCAGATTTTACCTTCCATGATTTATAGGTAAGATTAAGAGCAGAAAAAAACAAAACCAAAACTCTCTTGAAAATTTGTGTTATGGAGACTAGTGAAGGCTCTAAATATTTGTTTTATTTATTGGTCTTGTTGTAAAGCTACTGTAAGTATGGGCTTGGTCAAAATTATCTTAGTGAAGATACGGAGCAGCTAATTGTACAGGAAGCCCATTCTCATAAACTGAGATGCTTGTTACAAACAGGATTCTGCTCTGGTGAAGAGCCTGTGTACTGCCTACAAATAAATAAAACAGAAGTCTCCTTTGCTGTAGTAAAATGTGTAGTAAGAGGCTGGTCTGCACAGTTCCTTGTCTCAAAGGCTTGGCTGCTTGTGCAGGTGAGCTGTTTGGGTAGGGTTTATGCTGCCTAGAGTTAGGAATACTGTTTGTTTGCCTTTCATTAGTATTTTGACCTCATCGTCGAGGAAGCTGTAGACATAGATACAGTGCTGAGTTGGAGAGTTCAAATGGTAAAAGACCAGGAAATTAAATTTTGTTTCCCATGAAAGTTCTGTAGACATAATATGTATTTTGACTTGAAAAAATCCTATCCTTCGGCATGTGTGGTATAGAGCCAGAGCAGACTACGTGAGCTGATTAGACAACCCGACTGTACTGACTATAGCACTGGTGGCAGAGTGTGGGTTCACATCCAAAAAAATCTGCAGCCTGCTGAGTGTTTTACAGACAGAAAATGTGTTTGTGCATGCATGAAGATCAAAAACCTGGTGCCGCTTGTTGCTAGCAGTGCCAGCTGAGCTCTCCAAAATGGCCTTGGGAGCTAAAGAAGACAAATTCTACCAAGGCACAGCCCTTCCTTCCTCCCCATGCTAAGCAGCAAGGGTTAATGCCTGTGCGGTTAGTGAAAGCTGTGCCTCTGCACTTTGCATTTTTCATATTCACAGCTATGATTTCATCTGTAGGCTCATGGAACTGTTTTTAATCAAAATGTACAAAGAAATGCACAATTAATTGCTAATTTAAATTACAATGCTGGAGGTGCATTAGTAATAGATGCAGTTATTGCCCTTGTTTCTTTCATCTGCACACTCTGCAGTCATAAAATTGAAACATTATGTATATTTCCAGATGTAATCTTAAAATATATTCTGTTCTGTATTTTAATGTATGTATCTCTAAGTAAATATGAATAGTATTTAATTATTTTTATCTCATTGGAATAAATTTGACGGAAAATCATGGACTGTAAATATATTTGTTTCATTTTTAAATAATTATAAATAATTGAAGCCTGTTCATCCTTTTGATGGAATAGATTCAAATGCACACCTCTGTCAGTAGGAATACTTTGATAAATCAAATTTCTTCATACTGTTTCAGGCATATAATTCTTTAAAGTTTTATCTGTGTGACAGTTTGTCATGCTAGACTGTAACCCTTGTACACTCAATAATATATTTTAATTACTTTTTAAACTAAGAAAAACTGGTATTTCACATTTGATAGTTATAAATGAGCTAAAAAGCCATGCTGAGTTCACCTCAGCTCGACAGAAGTCCCCATGCTAATTTCTAAGACAGTCCTATATTTGGCTGAATACAAGGCTGGAGAAGTTCAGTGTAGAGGGCAGTCTTTCATTTTTAATGGGAAGTCAGAAACACATAAAAATAGCTTTATGAATGGAGTTCTTATTTAACTCTAGGTTTTCCAGTAGAGAGATGACGACATAGACTGCTTCTCTATAAAGCTGCAGAGAGAGCAACCTTCTGTTTTCCAGTTTGTCAGTCACAACATATTTGTTTAAAGTTGTCTGTGACAGGGATCTCCTCCATAATATACCAGATACAAAAGCAAGTATGTATTGAGATATGCTATTGACCTTACTGTGTTACAGAGCTGAAATAATAAAGACAACTCTTTCCCTTCTGAAGTTAAGAAATAATAAAAGCAACCCTTTTTCCCCCTTTCTTAAGAATATGAAACCACGCCTAATGATCTTGGAGACACCACAAATAACAGTAATCAAATCACTTCTCCGGATGTTTCCAACAAAGAGAATGAAGATAGCATCACTGTAAGTATATACATTATTTCCTGATCCCTAATCTTGGCAGACTTTCTGTATATAACCATAGTGAAACTATGGAGATTGTAATAGGACCCTATGCTACTAGAAAACAGAGCTATTATCACAAATGACCCAAAATCAGAAAAAAGAAAACGTTAGAGCAGTGCCTCCCACTCTGACCCTCATCCCCTCTTTTGAAAGAGTGAATTACTTCCCAAGTGAAATTGCTATTTAATTTGTTTCATGCTCTTCTGAGCAACTAAGTGTAAATTTTTAGGCCAAGACTCTGCTTCTAATTTAAGCCAAAGAGAACAACTCTTTATTTACAAAACAAAGACATCCAAGGCAATTTAAAAATTGTTGTTTGAATACAGTCCTTCAGCTTCTCCTCAGGAGAGGTTATGCTGTAATGAACTCTCAGACACTTAACTTCGTCTCTAAAATGTGATTTTATCTTTTTTTTATTATTATTTTTATTTTTTATAAGAGCACTTGTATTTGACTTCAGCACATGCAGCTGTGTTGGTGGGTCTCCTCACTTGTATCCTTGCATCTCATGCTGGCCTACTGAGCTGCTGGAGAGCAGCAGCAGGTGAACAGTTACCATGGCTGTCCACAACACCAGTCACCCTGCACAGTAGCAGGAGGGGGAAAGCCTGTGCACTGCGGCTCAGGGTGCCAGCTGTGATATGGGGAGAGGCAGGAAAGGAAGGTCTGCCAGCTGGTGTTGTCTCAGTGAATGCTTCACGGTGATAGACTGTGCTGAAAAACTGGGAGGATCTCAGGCACTCTTATCTCCTCTGATAGTAGAGCCACTGAGTGACTGAGATTGGAAGAGACTTCTGAAAATTGTTTGGTTTTCTCACCCACAGGCTCAAACTGGGGCTGGCAACAGCAGTCGCAGGTCTCTGTTTTTAATATCTCCAGGGTTGGAGGCTCCACAGCCAACTTGGGCAATCCGTGGAAGTGTTCAACAACTCTCACAGTAAATCGTAGTATCATAGAATGGTTCGGATTTGAAGGGACCTTTATGACTGTCTAATTCCTATCCCATTTCTATAGGCAGGAACACCTCCCTCTAGACCAAGTTGAACAAGGCCCTTTCCAGTCTGGCCTTGAATGCGTTCAGGAAGAGAGCATCCACAACCTCTGTGGCTAACCTCTTCCAGTGTTTCACCATCCTCGCAGTAACAAATTTCTTCTTATTGTCTAGTCTAAATCTACTCTTTTTCAGTTTAAAACCATTTCTCTTTGTCCTGCCACTACCTACTTTTATAAAAAGTCCTTCTCTAGTTTTTCTGTAGGTCCCTTTCAGGTTGGAAGGCTGCTGTAAGGTCTTGGAGCATTCTCTTCTCCAGGCTGAAGGGCCCCAGCTCTCTCAGCCTGTTCATGCAGGGGAGGTGCTCCAGCCCTCTGATCATCTTTGTTCTTCCTCCTCTTCCAGCAACCCCTTGTTCTTCCTGTGCTGGGGCTTCAGAACTGGATGCAGCTTTTTTCTGACACGTTTTACTTTTTTGCTTTCCTGTAACATGCCATTCTGTGTCCCTTCCCCACCTTGAACATGTAAGATGTTGAAAAAGTGATTCTCATAAGTCCTCTGAATCCCTCCATAGGGTGGAAGAAACCTCAACAAGTAGCAGTTTTCTGTCGTCTTTGATCTGAGTGCAAATGCCTCCTGATTGAAATGAATTTCTTGATAACTGGGTTAATAAATATGAATGTCTTTGAAAATAGTTCATGAGAGCAAAACAAATCGACTTGTTTCTGTCCTCTTTTTATAGGTGTATGTTGTGGTGGGAATTGCAGCACTGGTATGCACTGGCTTAGTAATAATGCTCATTATTCTGAAGTTTGGAAGACACTCTAAGTTTGGGATGAAAGGTAAGCAGTGTTGTTTTTTATGTCTTCCATAATAGCTGTGGATTGTATAAGCTTACATATTAAGGCTTCTGCACCAAGAACAGTTGAGATAACCAAATGAATGGCAATCACAATTAGTGTCTCATTCATTCATCAGGTAAGTAAAGGCAGAGACAGATGCAAGTTGGAATACAGAATTTTGGATCAAGTTGTTCTGCTCTTTTTTTTTTATGACAAATACCATTTCTTTCCATTCTTCTGAATAGCCACATACAACATCTCCTGGAGTAAAATACTGAGTCAGTGTAGGGAGGAAGAAAGTAGGAAGTTAAATTTATTTTGATATGACTTAGAATACAATTATTTGATGGGAATCCATGCTGTATAAAAGCATACTGCAAATGTTGCCTTAAGATAATAGATGTGAAGAAAAACAGTGGCAAGAGTAGAAGGTGTATTTGCAGTGCCTGCTGTTTTACAGGACTATCTGACGGATGCATTTTTGTGAGCTGTTGTGTGTATATTGGTAAGTGTCAGCTGGAGAGGATGGCAAGTGATCAAGTCCCTTTGGGAGGGAGACATCTCAGCTCTTCCACTTATTCATTTTTTTAATTTTACAGCTTGATGGAGGGACATGTAACACGGGTGTACAAAGGGCTATAACTCTATTACTGTATTATTTTACTGATCACATCAAACATAATTTGGAGATATTAGTAGAACTGTAATCAAAAAAAAAAAAAAAAAAAGGGGGAGGAGAAGGAAGAAATAAAAGAAAAATAAAAGAAAAATGAGGACTAAATGTTTCTTTACTGCATACAAAAGAGATACTTTTATTTTTAGGGTGTGTAGTTGAGGGTCTGTAGAGGGAGAGGTAAACTAGACTTTTGTTAGGCTCCTGTTAACCATATGTTCTTTCTCTCATTACTGCTTATGACATATTACCACAAAGATGCAAACTTTAGAGACTGGCTTATCCTTGGCAATACTCTTCTCAGAGATACCTACTGTATATTTGGTGTTTCTATATTCTACCTATAGAAGAGTTCCTGGAGCGGATGAGGTTTGAGCAAAGCAGAAGTTTAGATAGCCCAAGGATAGTAACTTTTTTCCTTACCTCTTTTTGTTGTGGTCTTTTGGTAACATTAAAAGAGAGCAGTCATTGTAAAATATCCTGAAAAACAACATTGAGCCTGCAGCTCATGGTCTTGGCCAGATACTATAGAAAACTTCCAACAACTGAACAAATGTTAAATGTAAATTTTATTTTTGTGCAGAGCTTTCTGAATTGCAAATAGAAAGCAACTTAGTGGAAGCTGAATGAGAGTGGTGATTGGCAGCATCTAATGTTAGCTCTTTAAAGCCAAATGTTTATCACATCTTCCAAAATTTGCACGTGTATTTCAACACACTGGAGAAATTAAGAAGGAAACTGTACCCTGAGGGTGAATGTGCAAAAATTTATTTTGCCTGATAAGAAACTTAATTACCTTCTTGGGAGCACTCAATATGGCAGCCATGTTTTGGTATTTTCAAGTAGAACTTTTGCACAAAAATAAGTCTTAGATGATCAGTAGGTTTAACTTCAGTGGTTCTTTTGTTGCAGTTGATTAGGTAGGTCATATTTTAATAAGGGTACACTTTCTGGATAATGACTGTGAAATTATGAGAAGGCAGCAACCTCAAGTGTGGAGTTTATTTTATTCTCTAAATATTACCAGTGATGGTTACCAAGAGCAGTAATATGAGTTCACAGTTCACATACATTCCTTCAGAAACTTATCACAGACATAGTGTGTGTGGCAATTGTGAAATGTCACTGTGAGCTACAAATAACTGTTAAATATTTCATTAGAAAAGAATGACCTTCTGTTTTCTGTGATGTGAACCTCAAACTCCTCCAGAGTTTGCATTCACACCTGAACTTCTAAGTATAGCTCTACCAATGACACTGCATCCCAGATACACTCTCTTAATTAATATAATCAGTATGTTTACTATATTAAGGCAATACTTAATGGCCTGAGATCATAGCACCATTTTGATAAGTCATACCCAGAATAATATTACCTCCTCTGAAAAGTCTACTGCATAAATATATGTTGGCAATTAATACAACCTGAGGCATTTGACTGTAAGTAAAATAATGCAAAGGTGAAGAGAGTTTTTTTACATTAAATTTTGGTCAGTATAATGTGAAGTTCTGGGAAAAAAATGGATCAGATCTGTGAACTCCTTGAGTCATATGTCTTCGAATTCAGTGACAGCAAAATTATTTCCAACTTTGCATATAGACATTGTTTCATATTTGGTGCTGTGGGGTAAAATATCTAGATTGCCTTGGAAAATAGTTATTTAATTTTTTTTTTAAACCTCATCAAATATTCTCCAAAATTTTAATGCATGTTTTGCATTCATAAAAGGCAGTTCTTCATTCTTCTGTTGCTTCATGGACATGCAATACTGTCACCTCAGACACTTTATCATTAAAAATCTCTCCACTCTTCCTTAGGAAGTAATTTAGGAAAAAAACCCCAAAACTGAAAAACTAATCACCCAGTAGCTGGATCGATCAGACTGGCATTCAGTAGTATTTTTGATTTAGCCTTATACGTGAAAGAGGGAAAAAGTGTTCTATTAAGATTGGACAAAAGTATGCGAATAGGCACCACTCCTTTATATCCTGCAGAATGAAAACTTTATATATGGGATAAAATTTTCATCCCGTTTGGGTTCATGGAAGGCATTTGCATCATATTGAATACTTTGTTTTATACATCATACATTTTAGTGCTTGTTTATCCTATTTTTTTTTTCACGGGCATCATCTGTCCCATACTTGCACTGTGTCCTTGCTGAATAATTCTGTGCTTACAGAGCTTGAAAATGATTGGAGTGTGGGACTGACAGTATCTAATCTCTTCAGAAGGAGATGTGGCATGAGAAGTTGTTGTCTGAACTACAGTGCATAAGAGCTGGCTGTACCTGGAAGCTCTGTGCTGAGCAACCACAGAGTGCCATACAGCCAACGTGCCTCCCCTTGCCTTCTTCCTGTAATTACAGGAAGAGCAGAAAAGAATCTAGTTTGTGTGATAAGGAGCCTCATGCCTCTGCAGGCTTCCAGTCCATTGGCTATTCTAATAACCTCTTAGCAAGATGTACAGAAGAGCTGTAAGAAGAGGTAAAAATAACTTCTCTTTTGCTTTTCTCTTCATGTTGTCTATCTCAGATGAGAGGGCAGCTTGAAATATGTTCATTTCACTCAGTTACCTTTCCAAACTGTAGTAGCAGAAAAAGACAAAAAGCAAATCAGTTCACTTGTTCACCACCACTAATAAAACCAGAGTATTTTGTTCTGGATTCTAGCTGGAGTTGAGTTGCACCATATAGGGAAGTTTTTCTTATATTTCTGTTGCTTCTTTTCACTTGTCTTCTAGAACCAGTTTCTGATGATTGATTTCAGGAGCTGTATTAATTTAGGGTTCATCTGCAGTCTATGCAAGAGCAGATTTAAAATATGATTAGTATGAAAAAATGCACTGGTCTGTGAATGGTGTGCTAGACTTCCAGATATCACTGAAAAATTCATCAGGGTAGCTGGTGAAACCTAGATATCTCTTTTTTTCTCTGTGTGTGTACATTTTAAGCACCTTTTTATATGGAGTCTGTTGAGAACAGCTTTGTGTGGAGCTTTTGGTTGCTTCGGTCTGGAGGTGAGGCTTTTAGGCTTTTGCAAGATGCTGCAGTATGAATGGTGAATGGTTCAGTTAATTTCTTAAATGTATTCATTAGGATTTGTGGGTTACTCTTATAAAACACCTTGGCTTGCTTGCCTGCTGGAGGATGTGAAAGTTCTTACAGTGGGAATTCTCTGCAGTCTGCCAGGATGTCTCTATCTCATTTTTTGTGTATGTCTGACTCCATCTAACCAGCTTATGAAACTGAAAAATAACGAAAGGGAACTAAAGTAAAGAGGACAGGAGAAGGCTTGTGATCTCCCTGGGAGAATTAATGGAAGAATTATTCTAGTCCTGTTTTATTCTACTCCTCCTGTTGAAAAAATGGCTGTAAATAAACAGCTAGTTGCAAAATAACCAACTTCATGTTTTGCAAATGTTAATATGGCACGGATGTAAGCATGGAGGAAACTGATGTAAGATAGGTCAGTGGATAAAGTTTGAAACAGCATAATTAAAAGGATGAAAACATTTTTACTAATTTGAACCATAGTAAATTGTAGCATGGGATGCCTGTATTCCAGCAAGAGGACAATATACATAGCACTTCTTTTACTTGCTAGATGCACTGGAAGTGGATGGCTGCAGACCAGAGTGTTACTGCAACTGTTTTATTGTTATGATAGACAGTTTCTGAACATTTTACCAAAGACAGAAAGGAGGAAAAACCCACCTCTCACTAAAGCTGCCCCTTTTCTCATAAGAAAGTAACAAATAGAATCTGACAGAAGTAGAGGGAAACATATGTGTACTTAATCCCACTGGGGCTAGAGGGTTTTTTGAATGTTTGTATGAAGCTTCTGTCTGTGTTTTGAGACTTGTGAAGTAGTGCAAAGGAAGGGAACAAACAGAGTCTGAAATTCCCATCACACTTAGCCTGTGCTAGCTGTGTTCTCATGTCTGTGAGCTTGAAGGTCACACTTTGAATGACGTTTCTTCTTCCTTGATCTCTTTCTGAACTGCCTACCATGTCCTAAATGGAACTGCTGTCCGTGAATGATTTGCCCCTGTTGTGATCTTTATAGCCTGTACAGCTCAGGGTACAGAAATTTGGCTTTCTTTGACCAGACATCAAGTCGGTTAATTCAGAGAATAAAGCAGTATTCCTTTAGGGACAAACAACCCCGAAATAGTACCTTTCCTTCAAGACCATAACAAGCTAGCTGCTTGTTATGACTTTTGTGTGTCGCTTGGAGTATCAGTCGGAATGCTATGCATTTTCACTAAGCTGATTAAAAGTTGGGAAGAAACACATAGATTTTGCCTAACAAGGTCAAAACTGAT